GAGCACGGCTAAGCCGACTGTCAGGCCTCCCTCGAGGATTACGACACCCCAGGCTCAACAACCGCCGCAGCCACCGGCACCGTCCACCCCGACGCTCCCAATAACCACCACGCCAAGGTCAGTATACTCTTGTTTAGTTTAAAATTCGTTTAGTTTGAATTATCGAGCTTTGATTCAACGATTCGTTGTCGAACCATAATTTGTCGTTATAGATTTTGTTTAATAGTAATTTTTAATAGCGGAGATAACGATACATTTCGAAATGGATCGTGAAATAATAAAGATTTTCTTTAACGTTCAATGGTCACGTAACTTTGTTACGATTCGAAGGATATTCTTTCGGTGTCAGCTAGAAAAATAAAGTTATCGAAACGTTCCATTAAAAGCAGAATTTTATTACGTTTTCTCGACGGGGAAATATTTTCGTTACGTCGTTAGTTGGACGAGAGCCGATAAGTTGGACTGCACGAGCGTCGTTGAAAGTGACAAACCCTTTTCATTTTGTAGTCCCACGTCGACGAGGTCACCGGTCGATACGGAGGTCCTCGAAGTGGACCAAGACTTAATATCTCCTGCAAACGTTCCGTCTGCGAATATACCAGCGGTGCCTCCGATTGTTCCTGAAACCACTCAGGCCACAACCACGTCGACCTTTGCTCCTTGGAGAACGAGTCGAAGGACCACTGGTAAGTTCTCGAGTGTTTAAGCGGTCTTCATAAACGAGAGGAGAGCGTTGATGGCGTTTTGATAAAGAGAGCACGGAATGTATCGTTTATTTTATCGTCGTGATCGAGAGACGGTACTCGAGAACATCAGCTTCGAGCAGAAAGCTACTTAAAGAGCTTTCTCGTTCGATCGTTCGATCACTTCTCGCTGAAACCTAGAAAGGGTGAAATCGATGAATTATTAATGTAATTAAATATTGCACTCTAATTACACTGTGAAACAAGACTTATCGAGTGGATGATTTGAAGCATCATCGGCCGATTATAGTCGACACGTTGGCTCGAGGGCTTGTCAGCTGTCAATTACAGCCAACGATCGTGCCGAAAGGGTTAACGCACAAAAGGCAGCTGTCAGAAACTTGGGAGTTCCAAGAATGGATAGACCGTCGAAGTAACTTTATAAAGATATCCGAAACTAAAGCGATCCCTAATTACCAAAATTCTATCGCCTGTTTCGTTTTTTTCTTTTCTTTTGCGGCAAATGTACAACTGCGTATTAAAACAGCAGGGAAATACGACTGTCAGTGTATAAATCGTATCAGCTAACCAACGTTCGATTTCGATGTAACTCGGCAACTCGTAACAATCACTGCAAAAGATTAAGACACCCTTGGGTATCCAAAATTCCATTTCACAGACCCGATACGATGTTGCGCGCGAGCTAAGCTCCGGTCCGCCGGGGACCTGACACTAGAATCACATTAAAGCCACGCCATTAACTAAAGCCAAGTAACAGGCCAACTAACGCTCGTAACTAACTCAAATATTCCAGTGCCGAGCACGCTGTACCCAGAGTCCAGCTCGAATGGCCAATGGTACGACTACGGTAGACAAGTGTGTCCCCCGGTGATAGCCAGGAACCTGTCGTGGAACACGACCAGAGCTGGCGACGTAGCTGTTCAGAGTTGTCCAGGCGGTGCTAACGGTTTGGCGCGTTGGAGATGCCTGGCCAGAGCAGACACGGCCTTCTGGCATCGAGACAGTCCGGATCTGAGCGAGTGTCGCTCAGTTTGGCTCACCACGCTAGAGAACAGGGTAACAGAAGGCGACGTGATCCTCGGAATCAGTCGAGAATTATCGCAAGTGACGAACAACAGCAGAGGTCTCTATGGTGGTGACATGATGATCACGACTAAGATCATCAAGAATATGGCGGAGAAGATGGCACAAGATATAAGAACGTATCAAGACGCGAATCAGAGGGAGGTCAGCGTGACCGAGCTGCTGCAAGGTGTCGTGAGGACGGGCAGCAATCTGCTTGACAAGGCGCAAATGGCGTCTTGGAAGGATCTCAGCCATCAGGAGCAGATGAGAGTCGCGACCTCTTTATTGATCGGACTCGAGGAGAACGCGTTTTTGTTGGCCGACACGCTGATGCACGAGAAAACGATCACTCATGAAGGGAGGAACATACGTGAGTATTGTTACATATATCTTTACTTGTTGAATTAGAGCGGCAAATTGAACTTTCCGTAATTCGTTTGAAAGCAGTGTAATTGGAAATTTAAATTAGCGACGCGTAATCTCGAATTAGTTGGAGTTATATCATAGACAAGGGTACGTCTATAGGAAAAATTAGCCACGAACTAATTTAGATGGTGTGATAAGACCTGAGAGAAAGGACGACGGGCCGTGATGAGTAAAAAGGAGTGGCAGACGGTATAACGAATTAACGTTGAGTCGTCTAGCACAATGGACATGCAAGTATCGTAGGTCCGACTTTAGCATCGGGTCGCATAAATCTAGATCCCTTATCTGTGGAATGCGACGGTGGTAATATCCGGCGTAGATAAAACAAAGATTCAAACCCATCGTAATTCTCTGGTACCTAGCTGGATAATGTTGTAACCCGAGCTTTACCTCTCTTCCTACCCGGCATTAACACAACAAAACCACCGAGAAAATTACGAGCAATTTGATTTACTTCCTGAAAGTAACGTAGCGCGCGGTCGTGATTGAGGCTGCTGGAAGCAACTTTCTGCGTCGCGGTCGAACGAAGTAGCACCAACATTAGATCCGCACGTGATAAATAGCATAACAGTAAAGGGTAAAAAGAAGACAAGTTTGATGAGCGACAGCCGGCCGGATGCCATGTAACATAATATTCGCCCGTCTGACCGTGTTCTTTCTTTCGTGCTAACAGAAAACTAGCTACCACCGTCGCTGGGCTTAGTCCTCTCGAATTTTTCTTGTCAGCCGAAGACGTCACTTTTACGACTGATCGAATGGAATATACGATGAACGAAACACCGCGACAACAAGGAAAAAATAACAGACAGAAAGATATGCGCGTTTAGTTTTATTGTTCGTTCGAGAAGATGAATCGAGTAGCGGAACTTTATGGTCGCGAGATTGACGAACGTTGCGGAGTTCGGTTAACGCCGCGCCGTCCTGTTCAGGACGAAATACCTTCCCAAGGATATAAATTTTATTTCGATGCGCCACGTGGGCATGTTTCTACGGAATATGTATTGCGTTCGGATGTTCGAGAGTAAAGGCCAAGGTTATAACAAAATGATTGGTACCGAGAATAACCCGAGTTCCCGGTTATAAAACGCCAATTGAAATAAAAGAATTCAACACATTGTCTATTGGATTTCATATATATCTTCGATTCTTTCCAATTGCATAAAACATCTTATCCAACCCAAACTAGTTTACACCATATAAAAGTATCATGATATCCTTCGATGTTTACGATTCACATATCTCTTTAAATAGTAATGGAAGTACGCGTTCTGGATGCCCGGAATATCGGCGATGATCTAGAAGTGTTCCCGACGGAGGCAGCTCAACAGAGATGGGCAGCTTCGAACGATCGTGTCGAGTTAACCAGAGGAGCTTTGCTGGAGAACAGCGAGGGTGGCATTGTCCGTTTGGTCTTCATGGCCTTTGACAGGCTCGAGGAGATCTTACAGCCGCAAGCTGAGGTATCATCGTTAGTCATGAACGACGACCCTCAGCCATTGCCGAAAAGGAACACGACCAGGCTTCTAAATAGTAAAGTGATCTCCGCGTCTTTGGGCAAAGGAAGGCACATACAGCTCAGCGAGCCTGTCAGAGTCTATTTCAAGCATCTGTCCATTGAGAACGTCACCAATCCGACTTGTGTGTTCTGGGATTACATCTTAAGGTGAGTTCCTCTTCTAATTACATCTGTCTCGCTAGTTCGTAGTGTCGTTTATTTGGAAAATATTTAGATACGTAATAAAATTTTGTTCTTTGAAATTGACACAGGGATAATTGTTATTCCTACATACTTTTAATTCCCATTTCAGTGCTTGGTCAGAGGAGGGTTGTGAAATACGAAAAACCAACGAAACTCACACAGTGTGCGAGTGCAATCATCTTACAAATTTCGCCGTTCTAATGGACGTGCACGCCGTCAGATTGGATATTGCTCATCAAGTCGCGTTGCAGATCATCACCTATATCGGCTGTATCATTTCCGTGGTTTGCCTGGTTCTGGCAATTTTGACCTTCCAATTATTTCGCGGACTAAAGGTAATTATTCCGTGTCGAATCTTACATTGATCGGAAAGCACGAAAGCTTCGACTGCATCGATCGAACATCTACCAAACGTACCTTGCCATTCTGTTACAGTCGGATAGAACAACCATCCACAAGAATCTGTGTGTGTGCTTGCTGATCGCGGAAATTTTATTCGTTTGCGGAATCGGACAAACGAATCAGAGAATTATCTGCGGTATCGTCGCTGGATTGTTGCATTTCTTTTTTCTTTGTGCATTCGCCTGGATGTTTCTCGAAGGTATCTCTCGAATAGAATATCCGCAACACTACCGTTTGTCGAATCATGCATTAACTAACAACAAATAACGGTTCGGCGAAACGGGAGTACCAGTTTGATTTCCTTTCGATTTTCTTTTGCAGGGTTTCAATTATACGTCATGCTGATCGAGGTGTTCGAAGCAGAAAAATCAAGGCTACGCTGGTATTATCTAGTCGCCTACGGTGCTCCGTTGCTGGTCGTAGCCATTTCTTGTATAATCGATCCTCTGAGTTACGGTACCGATCGATATTGCTGGCTACGAGCGGACAACTACTTCATATTCAGCTTCGTTGGACCAGTGATACTCGTTATACTGGTAAGATGACTGTTGCCAAGAAAAATAGAAAATAAATCGTAATCGATCCACGTTATATTAATATATAATAATGTTTTTAAAGCATCGAGTGTTTCGATGAAACGTAAAGCCGTATGAATATTTGATATACCTATCTATATATTCTATTCTTAGAATAAGTTCAATACAGAAGCTGTTATCCGGTTTTCTTGTTAGGCAAACTTGGTATTCCTATCGATGGCGATTTATATGATGTGCCGGCACGCAAACACGACCGTAGCGATGAAGAGTAAGGAGCACTCTCGATTGGCCAGCGCAAGGTAAGCCTAGAAATTCCAGGGTTTGTCCGTAAATACGAGAAACGTAACAAATGAATTTGTACATATATATTATGTATCTCTATATTAAAGTAATCGATCGAGTCCGTCCGTTAACACATTCGAGATATATCAATCCTATCGTCGAGTAGAATCCAAATGTTTGTTTGGTGCTTTCGGTTCACGTTCGCAAGCTTTACTTGCTTAAAGATATCTCTCGAAAGAGAGTCTTTTATTGTCACGCATCTTTTTGGCGGCCATGCTGAGTTCTTTTCGTTTCTATATATTTCCGTTTTATTAATTTACTGTGTTGGAATGATCGCAAGATTTCCGTTCGTTCGACACACCACTTGTATTGCTATAAATCTTAGGTACTATATGGGTATCGTTCTATATATATATATATATAATATACATGTATATCTATTACATACATGTATCGCTAACGTTCGTTAATAAGTATGTATCACATGTGATTAAAAATGCCGTCACAATCGAGTCATGCTTCAACGAGAAATTAGACGCACGAACAATCGAACGAGTACGATGATAATTAGCCTGCGTCCTGTGTTTTCTGTGATTTCAATGAAACGGGCAAAACTATGTCGAATGAAGAGAGAGATAGTAATATTTAATTAACTTGATAAATTTCTGTACGAAAATGTTGGTGACGGTAGTTAAATTCTCGTGCAAACTCGACTCGTTTTATTATCGAAATTGCTTTATCGTAAAAAATCGTTCTCTCTCTTTATGTTTCGTTTTCCTCCCCATTTTTAATCATTCTACGTTTTTTTTTGTACCTCATTTTCATTATTTTCCTTTCGAATAATTCGAACGTATCTAAATGTTCTATCGTACTAACGCAGGTATATAACGTATAGTAATACGAATCGAGTACTGCACTAGCGAAACAATAAGTTGTCTTTTTTTTTTCTTAATAATCAATTAATTAAAATGGTGCCGGAACAATCACCTAACTTTGCTGTCTTGTTTCATTTTTGTATTAAATCTTCTACCCACTTCTGTCTACACTGTTCTACATTCTTCTGCATGGCGTGGTTGGTTGGTAGTGGAAAGGAAGAGAATGCTCTTCCCAACAAATTGCAAGCGCACTTGTAAGATATTTACCAATTTTTATTATTACCCACATCTCGTTCATTCACCGTTACATCATTCTATTACTAATCGTCGTTTCACATGCCTTTAATTTCACCATTCTTTCATTTAACAAGTTCACTGTTTTCTCTTGTTTCTTTTTCGTTAATAATTCAAAGCTACTGATACGATAATTGTTTCATTTTATCATTTTTTCTTTTTTTTTTTGCGACTGTAGAACGTAGAACGTAGTACATAGTCTGTTCACGGGAAAAACAAAGTCACGCTGATCGTTTAATCGAACGATCATTGATCGTGTGACTCACTGGAATCGCAAATGTTATTATCCTCATTGTTATATTATTTTGTATCGGTTTAGAAAAGCCTGGGCAATTTGCAATTATCAATGGCTTAAGTAGCGTGGTATCCTCGTGATAATGCTTGACACGTGGCGACGATCGATATTCTCCGAATTTCTTAGTTACATCACGCTGTTTGCCTTTCCTCTGAGTACATATACGACGACTTAAACCGCATGCCGTATTTATCCTTTAGTTTCGGGTATAAGGCCTGATTTGAGAGTAGCTTAGTGTATACGCGCGAGATTAGAAGTAATAAACACCCGCCTACCTGTGTAGTTCGTGTACCCGATCCTCCCGTAGATCCGCAGTCTTGATCGTTTCTAGTAGATCAGGAACTAGGAAAGAAAAGAAAAGAAAAGAAAAGAAAAAGCGAAAAAATAGTAAGAACGTCGATACGGAGAAGGAGGAAAGAAGTAAGAAATAGTAACACTGTGTGCGATGCTTATAGGACGCCAGCCGCTTTCGAGACTCGCGAGAACATTAACGATGCTAATGCTTTTGTTGAAGAGTGTGTACACGACACGCGCACGCGTGTAGAAACGAGCAACATTAGTAGTACACGTTAGCATCGCGCAGCTCGAAATGTTGCGTGCACTGCGGTGCATAACACCGTCTCCTGATAATCTTCCGTGTTCTCGCCGCTCCATTTCGATAAGAACGTGACAAATGTAGCATTGGAATTATTAGAATTAAAGTCACACCATCATCGATCATTTAGCACGTTACTCTTAATTCTTTCAATGGCACGAGACTAAAGAGATCGTTTCCTTTCACCCCCCCTCCCCCACTCTCTTCGTTACCTTTTTTTTCTTATATTTTTTTCTCTAAATCCCTCATACCGATAAATTCACATAGCTCTCGTTCACGTTCCTTTAAGCATCGCTCGCGATTATCTTGTTCTTGAGATTTTTAGCTTCAATGTGACTCATCGATCGATATTTTCTGACTAGGGCATGGCTGAGAGGAGCGATCGTCTTAGTATTTCTACTGGGACTCACCTGGACCTTCGGGCTTCTCTACTTGAACCAAGAATCCGTCGTGATGGCGTACATCTTCACCATATTGAATAGTCTGCAGGGGCTGTTTATCTTTGTGTTCCATTGCGTTCAGAACGAGAAGGTAAGGGAATACGTCGGGGTCCAAACGTCCACCTTACTTTAAACTCTCTGGTATTGTTAACGCGCGTTCCAACGTTTAGAACGCCTCGTTGAATCATCCTTCATTCTTTCATCTTTCGTCGTGCATTCTTATCGTTAATGAAACCAACGAAATTCGAGTGGCATCTTAAACAGCGGGAAAAATTATTGCGAGAGAATGTTACCAATTATTTACGATAATTATTATTATTAAAAACAAAACAGGATGTTAATTTATTCGGTTGATTATATTGCGTATATTTTTCAATTTTGTATCGAGCAAACCGCGAAACGTTTCGAGAGCAAGAAGCAATGTCAACGCGAAGTTTAAAGGAAAGTAAGAAAGCAATTGTCGAATCGGAACTTTATATAATGAGAATTGTAAAACTGTTTCTATCGTAAGGTTTATAGTTAACACAATTATTCACGAGTCAAGGATCTTGTAACATAAGAATTCGATGCACTATGTACGAAAGCGGATTCTTCGTATTATATAAGTAGCAAGTAACTCCATAAGCAAGAGGATCATTTGACAGGAATCATGTTAAACGCAGTCTAAACATCGTAATGGTATCTCGCAAAACAGAACACGATGACAACAAATGATGTCTCAAATAAAGTGCTGTGGCAATCGAAAATCACCCACGTTTATTTGTCGAATTAACCGGGATCCTGTAGCCTGATTTGCAGCTCGTTATATTCAGTTATCTTCTTCCTTTTCATTTGAATAACGTTTATATTTTGGTTGCCACTGCAGGATGCACCGCTCTTTTCCTAATTTATCTGTAAATTCAGCACCAATGCTTCATAAACTCGATCACATATTCATGTTTCTCAATATATCAAAGTATATGTTCATCGTTAAAGTATATCATCATCGTCATCCTGGAAGATTATATCATACTTTACTTTTCAATTCGTTTTCCTTTTTTTTTTTTTCTTTTAATTGTTATTATTATTCATACGTGAACGAACGAGAAACGAACGCGCGCTCGCACTTGCCTTGGTTCTTTGTGCACCGTTAAAAAAAAACCTTTCGTTCGGGGGGTGGGTTTGCTTCGCCATTGCAGGTGAGGAAGGAATACAGGAAGTTCGTGCGCCGCCACTCCTGGCTGCCCAAGTGCCTCAGGTGCTCGAAGACGGTGGCCGGAAGCTCCGGCG